TTCAGTTTTAAAGAAGAATTGGACGCAGTTTTCCCCCTAAAGTCAAGGACGATGGGAAGAGCGCAGGGAACTTAAAAGACAAAAGAAAAGTACAACCCGCCCCCCCCAAAAGCTGATATCCTAGACAGTGACAGAAGAAAGCAGAGATGGACCAGAAAGACAGTTCTATTCTGGAAAGATGTAGAGAGAACTGCAAGAGAACTCAAAGATGAACCATTTTCTGTTGAATTCTGCCTTTCCTGGAAAGAGAATCCATTGTTGGATGCTCCATCATATACACTACTACTCTGCTGGAAACAGAACTCCAGTAGGTCTGCAATCCTATGCACATTTATTCAGATGGGCCTTTGGTCTATCTACTGCAGTTCTTCCTTTATTTTTATTTCTCAGCAGAAGTCCCACCCCAATTAAAACTAGATTTAGGACTTGCAGTGTGTGCTTGTTTTGAAATAATTCCCTCAATATTTAGATCTTACTCTTCCATATAAATCAAATTGGATTACAGCTTGACAGTTCCGAGTTATACTCCTGAACTATAATATGGCAAATTGTTTAATTCCTTTAAGTTTCAGAGAAGCCACGGCTACACCCTGACCAATTTAGGTCATCTTCTTTTACCTGAGTAATGGTAGTTAGCAAGAGGATGTCCAGAAGGCTTCTGTGGTCCTTGGAGTAACATCATCTCCAGTGCTTCCTAGAGTTGTTTTAGAGAAGACTGTCATTAACTCTTGTCAAATAAAAACACTCAGGGAAATCTTAGATGGAAATGGGTATATGCACTATGCTAAACTTTAATATGGTTCATTTGCTTTTGGCTTATTGTGTGTGACTCCAACCACCATGGCTGATATACCATAATATGGTGCAGTATTGCGAATAAAGCAGGCTAAACCAAGTTTCCTGCAACAAATGAACCCAGCTCCTAATTACTATCAGAGAGGAGCAGCCTACCATTAGATGACCTCCTATAACTGTTAATTTGTAAGCAAAAATAATTTTTCTATGATGTGGGAAAAAAGCTTGTGATGTGCAACAGCCTGTGCTGCAGCATCAAGTGGCTGCAATGTGAATCTTTAAAAGATGCATTAGAACAGGATGGCTGAGTTCTTGCAAACTGAGACTCTCAGTAAGACCTTTTTTAAAAGGTTAATAGAACGACCAGCTTTTAATTAACTAATGGGCCATTCTTTGATTTTAAGCATATTTGTAAATTCCGAATAAGAATTGGTAATAATGAACACACCATAGTGAAAACTGAAGACAAAGATGACACATCGGCGTTTTATAAGATCCATTGTGCAAGGTGTGTTGGTAGAGATTTCACCTAAATGTTGCCAGCATCAGAAGTTCACATGTCACAAGGGCTTTGCATTCTTTAAAGTGTGTTTTATCAGGAATAAGCAAACATGTTAACACTTGCTCATTCTGGATGGCTTCTCCTTCTGATGGAAGTGGCTAAACAAATCAGGATGCCCACTGTTTGTTTAGCGCCTCATCTGACCTAAGATCCTGGTACTCTCCTAATAAGCCTGAATAAAAAATGAACAACAAATCTTGGCTTGCTTAAGAAAAATGAGCCAGGGATCACAGTTCAGATACAAGTTAAACAAACTACAGATGGAAGTTTCCTGCTAGTTTGGATTTGTTTCCATCCAAACTGATTAAAGCAGGAGAGTGTGTATCTTGAGCACAGCACAGACTTTGAGGAATCTCTGCATTCCCGTAACTTATTTTATTTATTTATTCATCATATTTATATAGCCATCCATCTCACAGAAAAGTGACTCTAGGCAGCGCACAATAAAAACAATCCTTAGGACAATATTTATTTCTTTTATTTATATTTATTTATATTTCAAAATTGTTACTGCCCATGTCACTACAGAGCGACTCTGGGCAGTTGGTCCTGATATTAATGGAATATTTGGTCCTAATAGTAATGGAAAGAAGGAGAGAGGATAGAGAGATTTAATCAATCATTAAATCTGCCCTAAAATGGTACAATGCACCTGTAGGAGGTGCCCAAGAGAGAACTAAGCAATGTACCACATCTTTATGGTCCATGTTTGGAAACTGGTCCATATGTAATTACCACCAACACCATACCACCCCTCACAAATCTCTATTCCTTAATGAACAAAGCTACCTTAACCAGGTCGAATATTTCCCTCTCTACATAATAGTCCCTCCATGATGATACAGGAATCACCTGTAATATGGAGGTGTCAGGAACTGAACGTAGAACCTTCTCATGCAAAGCAAGTTTGCTTTACAACTGAATTATGGCTCTGCTTAATATGAATTAAATTGGTAACTTAGTTATACCCTGCAATACGTTATGTAAAGCCAAGGGACTGAACTGCTCCATGAAGAACTGGTTTGATTTATTTAAGTTTAAATGGGAGAATCTTACCAAAATGTTTCCTTGGGCTTCATGCAGACAATGTACAGCTAGTTCTAGATTGGTCCCTCCACCTGGCATTGCACTGGAGCAGGCCAATTTTAGCAGATCTGTTACTGCAAATGAATTTGTTTTCACAAGGATTAATAAGTTCTGCACAGCAGGAATTAAAAATACATAGTATAAAAGTAAAGAACACATGAATTTGGGATGGGAAAAGTCTCAAGAGGAAAAAGCTATCCCCACACCTCTCTTCTGTGTTTCCTTGTTGGTTACGATATCTCCCCATGGCTTCCAGACTAGTGAGGCTGGATGCTCATAGTTCTCTATAGCTGATCTGTCTTGGAGATCAGGTATTTCTGCCTGGAATCGATTTCCAATGTTAATATGCCTGAAAGGACAGAAAAGAGATGTAAAACAGCATCTTTTTTTTTTTTTTTTAAAGACATGAATTAGGACGTAACTATTAAAAAGAAAAAGAGGAAAGAGTTTATGTTTATATAACAAGAATCTCTACGAGGGCTTAGAATATATGCTTTCTCATGCATTCTCTTGCGAAACAGACCAAAACTCTAAGGAACTGTGGCCCTTAGGATGAAAAACAAATGGTGGCTCCCAGGCACATCTTGAGTTTGCTGGATCTGGAAATAGTTTTACTGCTGTTATTTACTGCTGATTTAGTATCACCCAGTGCTTGATTGAAGATAGAAGATAGTGCAAAGATAAAGAAGAGAAAAAAGAGTGAAAGAGGAGAATGTTAACTTGCCAGCATCTAGAACTTTTACATCTTCAGAGCGAGCTCATAACAGCCTCCCCCAGGCCAGGGACCTCCAGTTCCACTAGACTGCAGCTCCAGAACTGCAACTGAGAATGGCCTTCAGCTGAGGACGCCAAACTGGGAAAGGCTGAAAATCCAAGCAGGAGATTCTTTTTCTGGATGTTTCAGGGCAACTACATCATAGATATGTAACCTCCCACATATTCAAATCAAATCAAAATGAATACCGCCAAAGGCCAGCAAGACCTCCCTGTGGTTTAGAAAACAATTGCTACACATCTGTACTCAGAGACAGCACAAAATCCATAGTCTACAACCAAGTCCTATAAAACAAACGTATTTTTTCTTGACACCTTACAGAGACTCACCACTTTATACCAGGATTATCTTAGACACAATACCCACCCAATCAGGTGAAAAGTCAGAAGACCAGACTCGTACCCAGGAATAATCAAGGACAGGACAGACCTAGAAGAGACATAGAAAAAAACTTCTCTTCATCTATACCTCCCAGCTAAAACCTTTCTGCCTTAACTTCAGTGAACATTCTGCACAGCACTGATACTTTACACACAAGCCTTAGGTTGTCTCCCACTCTTGCTTAAGTAAATAGCAATATACCAGTACAACAGATCAAATAACAGAAGTACAAACTGGACAGCGAAACCAACTCAGAAATTGTTGCCACATCTATATATTAAGACCTAAGTCTGCTCATTTACTCATTTTCTTACATGATATATGGTACCATCAGCTAACAATATACTTCAACATACTACATAATACAAATAGGAGAGTCTCTTTACAGAAAGACATACATCTGACATGGCAACATTAAAAAACTGGGGGTGGGGGGGAATATCATAACCTCCCTGTTACTGAGACAAAAGTGACCATTCTTGAACAGAAACAGCAGAAATGATCATATAATACCGTATTTTTCCATGTATAAGACAATACTTTTTTCTAAAATCGTTACACTAAAAATTGAAGGTCGTCTTATACAAGGTAGTAACCTGAGGAGAGAACCACGCGGTTGCGAAACTGCCCATACTTTGTCTCTGCAAACAGGCTTCCTCCAATCACGAGCCTTATGTAACTAATGTCAGCTGATGCTGAACAAACCAATTGGAACACATCCCGTTAGAGGTGGAGAGTGTGTAGGCAGAGCGGGTAGGAGAGCGTGTAGGCAGATGCAACAGGGACTGGCAATGTCAGAGCATTCTGAGCCCATAAAGATGTCAGAAAATAAAAAAATAAATAAGCGAATGTCTTACTCTGCAAAATTCAAACTGAATGTAATCAGTTATGGCATGGAAATAGAGCTGCAGAGAGACAGTTTGGACCTCCTCCCACTGAGTGTATCATGTAAATGTTACCTAAT